AAGTAACAAAAGCTAATAAAAGCAATTGCACCTACTCCACATCCAAGAATAGAGCTGCCACAACTATGCAGTCAAAAGGTAAGTTCAGGCATCTACCTCGAGGTGCCCGCATGTGACACAGACACATTTTATTGAGGTTCTGAAGAATGGCCGTCATCCGGGACGTTTACAGCCGTTTATTTCAACTATCCAAAACTATCAAAAGCACAAAAATTGTATCACCTCCGATACAAAACAAAAGGTCAAGCAGATGTAATCCTTAAACAGTTCGCTCTTAATGACGATAATTTTAAATTGGCTTGGGAAGCTCTAAAAGTATGATACGAGAATGAAAGAATACTAGTAAGCAAGTAATGACAAAAATTAAGAAAAAAACGAGTGAAGAATTCATCAAACTAGAATCCACTATTTTAAATTGTTTATAGGTTTTATGTATAGAGACCTTATTCTGGTAAACATATTTACCGCAGCATTACCAGAAAAAACGTTACTTTTGTGGGAGCGACGGCTCTATTCAAAAAGAAAATGCCCAAAGTGGCAACATATGAAAGACTTTCTAACTACTCAATATGAAATAGCGGAAAGGGTAGATGTTATAAACTCAAAGCTCTAACTTCTTACAGCTGGTGGGGAAAAATAAAGACTTATTTGAGCTGAGAAATCTTTCATTCTAGTTTTTATTTTGTGTTTTTATCACTTATATCGTCGGCTTAACGTGCAAATGTGCTGAGTGCCATTTTTGAATTATTAAATAAAACAAAAAAAAAAAAAAACTGAATAAAAATTTAAGTTAAAATTTTTTTTATTTTTCTAACGCAGTTTTGTCAACTGTGATATTTCATTTAAGTACAAAAAAAATATAATAAAAAATTTAATGAGCGCCTTTATATAGGTCTTTTTTGGGCTTAGCACATTTTCTGGAGTTATTTGCACTTGGATGTATTGGACTTAGCACATTTTCGAAAAAGAAATATTGCAGTTTTTTTTTGCAAATGGCGTATTTTATTATCACAAAAAAATATTATACAGTCTTACTTCGTTGCTGTCGTTTAAATTAATACATATGTAAGTACTTAAATGGAAAATCTTTGTTTAAGCCTTAAACTTTAAGGTATCACAAAAAGTTAATATATCAATTCAGTCTTAATTCATTGCTGTTTGGAAATTATAAATTAAGAAAAACAAAAAAATATATTAAAAAATAAGAAGATATCACTCATGTTGCAGGTCGTCATAATGTTGATGGTAGTCTCTTGTATTTTCTTGCTGTTAATTTTCTTCTTTCTTGGTGAAGCTGTGGCAAATTAGACCAATCCGTTGGCACAACACTTCTGTCCACTCTTTGTTGCAAATAGCTCCATGGCTCGGGAAAACGCAATTTATAAAATATTTC